CTCTGGGGTGATTGTGTCGGCCGTTTGGCAAATGTGCCAGGCTGGGCGTTACCTGGTGTTTAACCAGACACTCTCGTCAAAACATAACCTATTGCTGGTTTTCAACAGGTATCAGCGTGCCTATCTAGTGGCTTTGGATCACTCTCTACCAAACAGATTTTTAAAGACTTGGTTATCTAGGGATGCAGGCAGAAGCCTAAGTAGGATGCTCAAATGCCATTCTCTTAACACGAGTTGGCATCCAAGGACCTTTGAAAGTAGGCTTCTGTCTGCCAAAATAATTTAAAACTCTGGTCCGTACTTACTCAGAGCCCTTTTGTTTAGTTTTGATGGGAGAGAAGGTTCATGCTTGTTACGAATTAATGCACTACAGAGCCTCCAAGGTAGCCTTTTCTGTACGTAATAGTATTCAAGGGGTTTCTTCACCTACCAGGACCAGGAGGTGAAATTCTATTTCACAGAAAGTAGGGGACTTTCTGTGTCATCTTTCTGCTAGCTCTTTCAAAGAGCACCTCAGAATTATAATAGGCGATAAGCTGCTAGAGCAGAGCAGTGGGGCTGTAACAAAATGAGGGACAATTAATTAATTCATTAAAGCAACCGACAAGTGTATGAAAGCGCAATCAGTACATCAGTCCGCTGAAACTCTGTACCTGAGAGCAAAGGAAAATACTTTTCCGATTCTCAGCAAATGACTTCACTTTGTAACTCATTAATAACTCAGATGAAGCGTTAAAGTAAATCTCGAGGAAGTGAGTCAGAATTGGGGGACAGCTGAAGCCTTCAGCTTGCGATTGCTGGGAGCTGCAGTGCTGGAGGGTAGACAACATTTTGTCCTGTTCTACTGCTTCAGCACTCGCTCCCTTTCACCCTCAGCTCTTCCATGCACCGGTCCCTCCGCTCCCATGGCTCCGTTCCTGGCAGGGGAGGGAAGCCCTGCAGAGTGGGCTCTGCGCTGAGTGGGCTCTGCGCTGAGTGGGCTCTGCGCTGGGTGGGTGGGCTCTGTGCTGAGTGAGTGGGTCTGCGCTGAGTGGGCTCTGTGCTGAGTGAGTGGGCTCTGCGCTGAGTGGGCTCTGTGCTGAGTGGGTCTGCACTGAGTGGGCTCTGCACTAGCTGCAGCAGGATGAGCGTGCCTCGAGCGTGCGGCACTCGCACAAGAAGCGATGTCAGCCTCGCACGGTGCATTTGGGATGCAGTTTAATTTATTTTCTTATCCTTGTTTAAGAAAGGTCTTTCGGTGAGCGTGAGCCAGGGGTTTATCTGTGTTTTGCTGGAAGGGGCACTACGTGCCAGAACCTTTTCAAGAATGTGCTTTTTTGCTGTTTACTGAGGCTGCAGTTACAGATGTTGCTGGGGCACACTCGCAGCCCTTCTCTGCTGGGCTGAACCATGATACCAACACTTCTGTTGCAGAGCCCAAGCTGAGCATGTGGTGTCTCAGCTAAACCTGATTTTCAGTATTTATTTTTTTTGCAGATCACACAAGTGAATTAATTCCCCCTACTTCTGTTTCCCTTACACCAAATGGGTCCTACAAGTGTTCCAGTGATAAAACATTGCAGCGATTTCCACATTTCCAAGATTACGCTGATAGAGTACATTCCTGGAAATCACTTTCTGTGTTCTGGTGCTAAAAATGTTGGGGGGCCAGAGCCCTGGGTGCTACTTTCCCTGCATCCTTACCCTTTTCACAGTCTCATGGGGATGTCTGCTAAGTACAGAGGCTGATGTAGAGCTTTGCAGGATGCAAAAAGAATCTTTTCTGTGTCTCTTCCAACTGCCCTTAAGCTCAGATGCTGCAGTTCCTATTTTTCTTAATAAGCTTCATTTAAAGCAAGTGCCCATTGAAAAAAAATCTGTCTGGTTACCCGTATATAAAGTTTTTAGTTTTAGTAGAGAAGAATTTGAGTTTGAAGAGGCAAAGGGCCAGTGAACTGAAATCCTTGATTGGGAATGTATGGGAAAGTAAATTACCTTGGAAATGAAAGTGGTGTTGCTACATAGGAGGATAATAAACCTTGTGATGTGACAGTGTGTTGAGATTACAATATATCTAACTACACAGGAAGAAAAGCAATCTCCTCTTTGCCACAAGAAGTAGAAGAAATGGGAATTATCATGGGTATTATTATGCCTCCTTCTCTTCCTTAAAAATTATTTGAAGTGATGGAACTTAATACACTGATAAGAGAATTACTTACAGGTCTGGTAGATGCTCCTGTCTAACTGTCACTGCGCTTCTAATTTCTCAGCCTCTCAACATTGCCTACAGTCACATCTATAGCTCCTACCGCAATTTTGTGGGGCCACCTCATTTCAAGACGATCTGCAGGCTTCTTGGCTATCAGGGCATCGCAGTGGTCATGGAAGAGCTACTGAAGATCGTCAAGAGCCTGGTAAGTCTGAGCCTAACACTGCTGATAGAGAAACCTTGATGCCTTGAGAGGCACAGGTTGGACAGTCAGCCTGGGATTTGGGTTGAGGGTGTTCACATCTGGGCACCTTCATGTCCCTTGATTCGCACTGAAACATTTGTATTAACGGTCTGATTTTCACTGTTGCTGAGGAATCCCACTGATTCCTGTGGGATGATGGAGTGTTTCCACCAGCTTGAAGTGTTTGCTGTGATCGGCCACCTGCATCGGGGGGGTTGTGCTTTGCTAAAAGCCACTGGGAAGTGATCGGGGGGGACATGGCACTCACGGTCCCTCAGCACTGTGGGTGCTGCAGCCTGGGAGAGCTTCAAGACACGTGCTCGTGCTCAGCAACAGCACAAGAGCACTCTGTCTCATCGTCTTGTGATGCCCCTGGAGAGCCACAGGCAGCAAAATTGATGAAACCAACTTTTTGAGTCTTTCTAAGAAAATTCCTGCTATAGGTGAGTCCTTATTCAAGCCATACTGTCCATTTCCATCAGGTATTCTGAAGCCAGGCTGCCAATAGCCCCATCTGCTTTCCAGTTCTCTCTTTTTTTTTCAGAAGAGAAATGTGATGTCCACAGGGAAATGATCCCATGTGCTCCCTAAGGGCACTAACAATACCGAGCATTACGAAGGGAGGATGGGAGTGTGCAAAAATGTATACTTTTTCAGGTCATGCTTTTCTACTAAAACCTTTGCTTTACTGGAAAGACTATTTTCATTCATTATAAGTAGTTAAATTCTATTTTGACTGCAGTGACGTCATTTTCAACTTCTCTCAAAAAGCAATGTGAAACTGAAAATCTCAAGCATATATCCAGTTTCCCTACCATAAAGCACATAGTTACTGAAGATGTAATTTGTGCCTCTTACTTGAAAATGCTGTAGCTGGTGTGTGAGATCAGACAGCATTCAGCACAAAGACAAAAATTAATAGTTAATAGCTAAATAGTGCTTAGTGCATAATCCTGTATCATGTATCTACAGGATGCAGGTAACTCCAAATGACAGCAAGCACTTTTAACGAAGAAATATACTTCGCTCTTGTCCATATTAGTTCAAAACATCAGATCTGCAGAAACTTGTTCTACACGCATGTAGATTCCTTTTTTAAACTCTGAATATCTAGTGATCATTCCTCAGGTGGAAGGAGCATTTCCTGTGCTGGGGAATGACTCCTTCAGCAGCTCTGGTGAAATGATTTGTGGGTTAGGAGCACAAGCCCAGCTGGATGTAAGACTGAGCCTTGTTTGGATTTCAGCTGCAAACAATGCAAACACAGCAAGCTATATTTTGAAGTGGAAAATCCATGCAGCTGTGATATATTATTTGGGAGGAAGCTGTAAAAGCGCTCCTACTCCATACACTTGGGCTGAATTTTATATTTGAGTGAAATCCAAATTAAGGACGTTCTTCTTGGACTCCAGCTGAAGTTTCATCCTGTGCTGTCAAGTGTGGACCCACCCACAATCAGCCCCTTTCAGAACCAATGCCAGGAGAAGCCATCATTCCAGTTTAACCTCCCTTTGTCTCCGACAGCTACAAGGCACCATCCTGCAGTACGTGAAGACTCTGATTGAAGTAATGCCCAAGATATGCCGCTTGCCAAGACATGAATATGGCTCTCCAGGTGGGTGCTACAGATAGATGCTTGAGCAAGAGCTCGCCCACGTCTTGGTACAGCGTTTACTCAGGCACACACTAGTAATTAAACAAGGTTTGGCACCTAACGTGCCAGTGCAATATGCAGCCAAGCTTGCCGAGACACACTTTCAGCTGCTTTGCTGTTGATACTGGAACACCTATACAAAACTTTTCCAGGAAATCTCCCGTTGAAAATTTCCCTTTGAACACACAGACGGCTGATAAGGGAATGTCTTCTGGTAGCTTCTGTTTTGTTTTCAGGATTTTGTAAGCTTTTGTTATTGTGGGTTCATTGATATTTTTCAAAAGCTCTACTTAGGTTGGTGCAAAGATTTTTTGCAGCGTGACTGCGGTCTGCCATTGAGCTGGGTGGGGAAACTCTGGCTGGTGTACGTGAGCCAGCACCAAGTCATCCATTACACTACTGAATCTCTTTTTTCCTCTGATGAGGAAATCCAAGAACTTCATATGAATTACTCCCTATTTCCCAAGGGTTACTGAAAGCAGGATAAGACACTGAGTGCTAGTTCTCCCCAATGCCAGTCTCCATCTATCCGTTTAGCAGTTACCGCCTGCAATTTGTGATTAAGAAAATATCAGGCCCTTACTGTCTTTTTATCCAAGTTATTGGAGGGCGGTTCTGCTTTTGCTTTTCTGACTGTCTTTCCTTGTCTTTTAAGGAATCCTGGAGTTTTTCCACCATCAGCTGAAGGACATCATTGAGTACGCAGAGCTGAAGACCGACGTATTCCAGAGCCTCAGAGAAGTGGGCAATGCCATTCTCTTCTGCCTCCTTATTGAGCAGGCTTTGGTAAGGCAAAACCCCCTGCACCACAGATCATACTTGAAATTGCCAGCTCAAGAGTATAAGTGGAAGTGGGTTCTCCAGCAGAAGAGTTTGGGAAATGTTACTTTCCAGCTTCCCGTGTGATCAGGGTCTCTCCGGGGCTGTCTTATTGGGGTCTGTGGGCATGTCCATGGGGATGGTGTGCGTTGGTGCTTGGTCACTGACATCTGGGATTGCTGAAGGAGAATCTGAATACTGGAAGATCTAGATTTAATTCTTGGACCCAAAGCTACCCCTGGTTCATCCTTCTCAGAAATAAAACCAACTGGAGCTTATTTCTAGATTGTAAGCTCTCTGTGGCAGGGATCAATACTTTTTATATACATATTTGTACCGTGAGAAGTAGATTTGAGCCCTTTGCTCTTTTGGGGTGCCAGTGCAATGAAAAAAACCTGATTGATTCTAATGGTGATAAGGATAAAGCAATCCTACAGGAAAGAAATCTCAGAAGAGCTGATGATGTATTTCCTATGATTTATCTTCACTGAGAACTGAGCTGGAGTGACGACTTGGTATTGCCCCCTGCACAAGTGTTTTGCACGTGCACAAGCCTCTCAGCCTCTCAGCTTGTGTGATACCCTTTCTGGTATGGGGCAAAGGCTATGGCTGAGTGCCAGACATCTTCTTAGCTTCTCGCTTTTCACACAGTAAGTTTACTTCTTAATGAATTTTTCTCACAGTTTGGCCTAGAGCCAACTGAGGAGTGTTCAGCAACGCAATTTTACATTAAAAATGCATATTTTATGTCATAATGGTTTTGGAAGGGTTGTTCGTTCTTCCAGAAATATTTCAGAAAGAATTCGCTAGCATAAGATGGGATTTCCAAGCAAAGCCAGAAAGTTTTGTTCAGAGCAAAACCAGAAGGAAGCTCAAAGATTCCAAGTTTTACGCAGCCATAGAACACAGGAAAAACTGAAAATCCCTGCACGTCCTCAAAATCATATTTTTGCCCTTGCCTTTGCATTTTAACACCAGATATAGAGACACTTAGCTCCTGATACGGTGTATCAAACACATTAAATGAGCAGTAGTTGCATAAGATTAAGAAAACTTCTAGATGTATCACCTAGCAGCTTGGCTTTATCTTATAGAATGACCAGAGTTGCCAACCATATCCTGGCAGTTTATGTTCCTTTTGTGGCTTCGTCACTGCTTTCTGCTATTCTCAGTGCTGGCCTTTATGCTGGATGTACTGCATTTGCCTTTTCTGTCCCATCGTTAAATGGACACTTAAGGGACACGTGGTGGTTTCTTTTAGAAATCCTTCAGTTCAATGCAAAAATGTTCCTGCAGCCCCGGGTACTGTACATCAGCAGTATACTGACATTTTAGAATAGCAGAAAACAAAGAAGATGGTGAGAATTTTGGGGTCCCTTTAGGAAGGCTGCCCATCAAAGTCCACATCTGCCCACGTTCTGTGCCAACCAAAGTCTCTCCCTCGCTGATTCCCTGTTTTTCCACTCAGAAATAGATTCAGAATACAAAGCCATTTTGCACACAGTGGGCACTGGTTCTCGCTTGGTGGAAGATGTCAGATGCATAGAGCCATCACGTAACAAGATTTTCCCTCTAATGGAGCTCTTATGCAGCAGGAGCAACTGCTTTTACAGTGCAGTTATCTTCATAGCTGTCAGAATGATCTAAGGCTGGTGGTATTTGCTGGCAGAGACTGCTCTAGTGAAGATGCAGTCTGCTCCATTCTACCCCCTTTTTATTGATTAAATGTGAGGAATGAGGGGTTGCTTGGGACTCAATTTCTGAGCAGAATTCTTACTTTCAGGTAATGGGCATTTGGGAGGAGATCTATTAAAAACATGACTAATTTTGGGACAGATATCAGGTGAATGCAGGCTGCAAATGGTGAAAATACTCTCTTTATCAGAGGGAAATGGCAGTGAAAGAACATTCATCTGGCATCGAATAGTGTTACAGTGTTTTGCAAACAGAATAACCAAGGTGACAGGCACACTCTGTTAGCAGCAGCATCTCTGTGCCCACGGAGGGACCTCGGACTGGTCCTGTCCCTCCAGCGCTGTGTCACAAACTGCACTCCCACAAACTCGCTCTCATCCCCGCATCCATGCGCCAGTACAGCCTCCTGCAGCTCCATGCTACACCGTCCTCTCCCTCTTGGCTGGAAGGTGGGGTACCCACCTGTGCATCCCAAACAGACCCAGCCGAGTCATTCCATGTGGCCCCCAAATATCTTCTGCTGTGCTGCCATGACCTGCTTTCGAGTGCGTTTAAATCTCTACGATAATCTCAGAACGGAAAGCATGTCCTAGAACTAGACTTTTGTAGGAGCAAACTAATGCCTTGTTGTGACGCAATGCCTCTGTGTTAAACAGCTTTGGTTTCCTTGCTGCCGTTTCCCATTGCAGACTCGTATACAATGTATTGTCAGCCATCGCTCCTCAGTCTCCACCTGCCTATTTCTAGGTTTCTCCTCCTTGTGCATCTGTGTTTGGGATTATTTTTTCTCAAGTGCATCGGCATGCATTCTCTCAGGTGGCATCTCATGATGTTATTGCTCTCTGGACTTCTGTATTATTCTCCCTGGTGCCTACACCACTGGGATTCTGGTCTGATAGCCCTGGCTGAGAACACCATATGAACAACCAAACCATTTCAGACCAGGCTATTACGTACCTATTTGCAATAGAGCTGCGCATCAGTACATCTTACACGTACACATCCTAAAATAACTAAGGCAAAGGGTAACTTCCATGTGGGCACTCTCTGTAAAAATAAACAGCAGCAAGTCATCAGGGTAGGATGAAACAGAAACCTCCGTGTCCTTTATCCCCTCTTACTTGCAGTTCTAGTAAGTGGGACAGAAAATAAATATAAATCTCTGGCCTTGTACAGGCAGGAAGTAGCTTATTTGAGTTAAGTAAACTTCCTGGCTTAAGTTGAGAGGTATTTCTTCCAGTTTTAATTCATTTAGGTTCAAACCATTGGAGTTACTACTGCGCTGGGTTGGATTTGAATAGGTGCCATAGACACGAATTGTTGTAGTGTTGCCCAGGCCCCTGAGCCATACACTCAACCCCTATAGGTATTTTTTAACTTACTTTATCTTTCTTTCTTCCTGCCTCAGTCCCAGGAAGAAGTTTGTGATTTGCTGCATGCTGCTCCCTTCCAAAATATTTTGCCCAGGGTCTACATCAAAGGTAAGAAGCTGAGAGGGAAACAGTGGACAGACTCAGAGGTCTGCCCAGAAGCTGTTTCTCTCCCATTTCTGCTGAGGATTAGTTCTGGCCCTGCTTCCCCCTTGAATAGATAAGTGGATACAGCCAAAAGTCAGGTGGAAACAAATGCCAAGGGTGCATTTTTTGTAGCCTAGTTACAGACTGAAACCTTAGTCAGTTTGGGGGTTCCCGTAAGGTTTTAAAGCCATTTCACAGCCTCTTTGGAGAATGACAGCATGAAATGTCCATCTCAACGGGAGAGGTCAGTAACAGGGACATGCTTTTGGACATGTGTGATTAAGCTGCTGCTGAGACTGCAATCGCACATCCCTCCTCTGCATCACTGGTTCCCTCATTTGCTGTCGGTTTGGCTCACTGATCCAAAGTCTCGTTGGATGGTTGCTGGGGGGCAGCTCTGAGCAAACTCGGCGGAAATTGCGGGTCTCCACTTCCTCCTCTCATTTCACTGTTTGCTGCTCGCTTGACAGAAGGAGAACGCTTGGAGGTGCGCATGAAGCGTCTCGAAGCCAAGTATGCCCCACTTCACCTGGTTCCCTTAATAGAGAGGCTGGGCACTCCGCAGGTAAGGATTTCATTGAAAGGGATGGCTGTTGAAAATTCATAGCAGTCCCCAGGTGGCCTGTTTGGCCTTGGGAAAGTGATCCTTTTTTTTCCCCCCAAAAAACATCAATCGGACAAGAAAATCAGAGTCCTTGCCCTAGCAGACATTTTGAAGGGAAATTTGTGAGCGGGTCCAGAGATGCTGTGTTGCCATCTCCGGTCTGGAGAGCTGGCAGGGAACTGTAAGGCAAGTGTGCTAGAAGCCAGCTCTGAATAAGAACAACTCTGAAAAACTCTTCTCCTCCATTTTAAAAAGATGGAGAGTTGTTGGGGTGGTTTGAGGGGAAACTTTGCAGGACTGTCCCTGACTTAATCAATTGCCATCACTTTTGGGGATCCCGTTGTAGGGCTGCAGTGTGGTCCATTTTTAATCTCATCCCTGTCAAGGAATACATCTGACAATGGTTTTCCTCCTGGCACATGCTTAGAGCTTCAGCACATGCTTAAAATTATGGCTCCATTTAAGTTTCTTCTTGAGGTGGGTCTCAGCTTGGAAAAGATCCCTTGTGCAGAAATTGAGTACTGTTAAAAGGATCTCTGTAGACTGATCAACGTAATGGGCAAAATTTGAGCTCCATTGATACGAACCACCAAACTTCCACTCCATACTTAGTGGGGCCAATGGGATAAAAATCATTCAAAGTCTTAAATGAATCAACATCCTTTTTCTGTAATGTACTGTTGAGGCAATGGAACAAACAGTTGTATGAGGTGACAGATCTATGGCAGGCAGAAAGTTGTTGATTATTTCTTGGTTTTCTGATGGATCAGGACATTTTGAACTTTGCTTCATTGGAAATCATATGAAAGAGAAATTGGCTGGATAACTGAGGGCTTTGTCTTACTTTGTAGACACTTCTCTCACTTCCCATTGACTTCCTTTTGAAGGAGACACTCGAGAAAAAGAATTCACCTCTGTGTTTTTGTGTCTTTGTGTCAGTCTTTCTATCTCTCCTCCTTTCCATGCCAAATCATCATTGAAATCTGCTATTAGAGTCCACTCGTTGCTTATCCCTGCCATAGTTATGATGGTGATGAAAACAAAAGGTATTTCATATCCCACTAAAAAATAATTTTTCCGTGAACTGTTCCCATATTCATCACACAGGTACAGTTGAGTACCAGATCTTTTTTGAGCTCAGATGTAAATGAACACAAGAGTCACTTTCTATAGGTGCCTGCATACCTTCTAAGCTTGCTCCTTATGCGGTTTTGGACGTGCATTTTGGAAATGCAGTTTTGGACACAGGCCATATGGGACTTTTTTCCTGCAGAACACATAAGTGCCTTTTAGCAATTGTCCAGAATCTGAGCAGAAGTTGCCTGCTAGATGCCTCTCCCAAAAGGTGGCCCTATGCATTTCATATAATTACGTGCTGTGAAGGGGCTGAGCCAGAGGCTGCTGTAGTTAGTGGGATCTGTCAGCCTTTGCAGGCTTTGGGTAGGGTTTTTGCAAGCTTGTCAGTTAACAAGCTGTAAATGAGGTATGGCACAACTGGATTTGTGCAATGGCAGGAAAACTGTCGGTGATTGTGGTAAATAATTGTTTTGCACTGGGAATCAAGAAGCAGTTTGATAGGTCATTCATTTGTTTGATAGGTCATTCATAAAGAACCAGGGGAGTCAAAGTGGATCATTAAAAGAATCCTCTCCCTTTTAATGCTGATCATAGGAGTATTTAGTAAGGGATTTTCAAAAGTGCTTGATCAGTCTGATTTTTTCACTGGAAGTAATGGGAGCCTTTGCTTTTGAAGACAGAGGGAACAGTTGAGCCAGCACAGTGGCATCCTTTGACAGTTTATCTTGAGAGCACCCTTCCTTTCCTGATGTTAGAAATCAGTGGGACCCCAGAGTGTGAGGCAGACCTGGCCACAAGACTAATAGCTCTCCAGCTGCCTTCACCATGTTAGATATCTACCCAATGGGAGTAGTCTTGTGTCAAAGACTGGTCTTATGGTGATGAATTTTAGAACCAAATTCTGTCTGTGAATGCGCATAACGGAGTGGCACTACGTCCTTTGAAAGCCAGATACATCCCTTTCTACATTAAGTTTTCTTCAGAAACAGTATACTATGATCATTGGACTAGTTTGTTCTCAAAAACACCTCTTCTATCACTGTATCTTAGCAAACAGTAATGCTACCACCTAATTTATATTTAAAGTGGCTTTACTTCTACTGTGTCCCCATTTTGCCATCATAGACTAGTGTGTGCAGGTGCTAATCTGTACCCATAAGAGCTTGAAGCAGGTGAGGAGAGAGAAAGTATACGGCCTTTACCTATAAAAACAAGCTGAATAAAAATAATCTTTACTTGCTAAGCAAACATATGCAAGTATGTGCCATGAAAGCAGTGATATCATTCCTGCGTTTAACAGACCTAGGGATCCCAGACCCAATCTGGCCTCTGCACAGCAATACAGCTTTCTCTTGATATTTGCTATTAGTTGAACATTAATTGATCTGAGGCTCCCAGAATGTCCTTGGAATTGTGGCACAAGCAGGAATTTTAACGCTTCTAATTTCAACAGCCACCAAATTAAAAATGCTTTAGGTTACTGCCAGCATAAATTAATAGTCAGGAAAGGAAACATGCAGGCACATTCCTGTTTTTTTAGAGTGGAATAAAGATGGCCCAAGTAAACGGAGCATAATTCATGTTCTTAATGTCGGGCCAGGACACGTGCCTGCCTGTTGTACCAGGTGGCCCGAGCCCCCGTCATGATTCTGATCAGGATGACGTTATTATAGGCATTACAGGGACAGCTGGAAATGGAGCAAATGCTTAAAAACTACTTAAAGCTTCAGGAAGTCCTCTGGGATAGGCAGGGGATTGGTAAATGTCACGCCTGCTTCCCATGCCTCTGCCAAAGCGGTGAGAGGCGTAAAAGACTCTGCCTGTGTGGCCAGCGCGCCGGCAGCCGCTCGTCTGCGGGGGGAGCACGGCAGAGCCGGAGCCTCCCACAGCCACGGGCACAACTAAGAGCACTCGGCTCCCATCTCCCGTGTTATTTTTGGCAGCGCTGCAAAGAGAAGTCAGTAACGCCGCTGGAAATAGCAAGAAATGGGGCAGCCAAGAGGATATCAGAGCAGCAAGCGAACTCCGTGCTTGCACCCCAGCCCCATTCAGTGAGCTCAGTGGGGCCAGTGCTCCCATGCTGGGGGGACGCCCTGCTTGCTTACTTAAAAAAAAACGTTTTTTCCCTCTGGGGGAGCAATGGGGCTTAAATTAACTCTCTCTTAGTTTTCCTCTAGTGTAAAAGGCAAATGAAGTCCATCCATTTGTACATGTAAATCTGAGTGGGGATGTCACAGAAATTCTCCACACATGTAAAGCTTCCACATCTGAAAAAAAATACTATTTGACTTTCTTATAAACCACAGGTTTTCCAGTATTAAGGTTCCAGTGGCTTTTCATCTTCCTCAGAGCTTTTTAACCCTAACTACAAAAGAAATCAAGAAATCCATAGGCTATCTACATTTTAAAGAGATGATGGCAATGTTCTGGGAAGCAAAATGTCCCTGTTCTCTCCCAATTTATTTTCATAATCTGCAGAAATCATGAAATTAAACCCAGCAACGCTGAGCAGCACTAATAGAACAGCGTACTAGCAGAATGAAAGATCAGTATTTCTGATCAGAGCTTTGCCTTAAACTTTTTTTTTTTCTGATGTGTATAGTTATTTCAAAAGATACTTAGGTTGGTGAAATATAATCGAGCACAATATTAAGTCTTCTTCCATTTGAGGGATGAGTATTCTCTGGTGGGGAGTGCCGTGGCAGCAGCCATCGGAGGTAAGGCTGGACCTTGCGTGGGACGTATGTTAACCTGGAAAGAGCCGGGGAGCGCTAAGTCCAGCGAGATGGTCCACCTGTATTAAATCATCACTTCTGTTTCTGTGGTTGTCCTCCTCCTCAGCAAATAGCCATTGCCCGGGAGGGTGACTTGCTGACCAAGGAGCGGTTATGCTGCGGGCTGTCCATGTTCGAGGTGATCCTGACGCGAATTAGGAGCTACCTGCAGGACCCGATCTGGCGCGGGCCACCCCCGACGAACGGGGTCATGCACGTGGACGAGTGCGTGGAGTTTCACCGGCTCTGGAGTGCCATGCAGTTTGTGTACTGCATCCCCGTGGGCACCAACGAGTTCACTGCAGAGTGAGTGTCCGTCGGCCGACTCTGCCCTTAGTGCCACTCACGAGCTAGCGGGGCCGGCAAGCCCGCGGGATGCCCTCAGCTGCAGCGATAGCCCCAGCCAGTGTAGAGGGAGAACATGGGTCCTTGATGAAAGGACTTTGTTGTGCGTGGACAAAAAGAGATGCCCAGAGCGCTTTCTGTCTAAACAGCTGGGGAAGAGAGCAATGTAAAGGGACATGATCAAGGTGACATGCAGAAGGAGACAGGCCAGCAACCCAAGTCAGAGGCTAGGTCCTCATCCATCTTATCCTGTGGTGCACCCTGCATGGGCTGGCCCTGGTGTAATTCTGCATATCTCCTTCTGAGTTCATTTCCTCTAGGTGTATGCACACTTTCCAGGAGTAGGACTAAATGTGATTTCCCTAGGAATTCACCAAGGAAAGTTCCTGGTGTCATGGTAGGACTTCTCATACCTAACTCTATCCTGTCATCTCTCCCCACCCCATCACCCTGTCTTCCTTCCAGGCAGTGCTTTGGAGATGGTCTGAACTGGGCAGGTTGCTCTATCATTGTTCTCCTTGGACAGCAACGGCGCTTTGACCTCTTTGACTTCTGCTACCACCTGCTGAAGGTGCAGAGGCAGGACGGGAAGGATGAAATCATAAAAAATGTGGTGAGTTGAAGGGTGGGGTCCCAAAGGACCTGAACCAGCACACTTCTCTTTCTGTTTTCTATCTTGCTTTTTCCAAATTCATAAATTACAACCATGCCCGCTGCTAACCTTATTCAAACTGGACACACTTGCTGTGAGATTTCCATCTGCAGTCTCAGCAGAGAGGCCGAGGTTTTAATTGGTTTCACAATTGAATCTCTTCTCTCCCAAAGCTTTTCCCTTCTTCCTGGGGTTGGGAAGCTGGCGCTGAGAAGCTGGTATTTCCAGCGACCATCCTGTGATCTCAGTGGCTTTATCAATAAGCACCTGGGAGTCTGGACTTCAGAATGGTTAACTTAGGACCACTCACTGACCTTGTTAATGCTCTGTCTCGAGTCATCAAACCCCATAATGAAGTGAGGCACTGGTCCCTGGGAGGTGCTAAGTGGAACTGTAACACGTGTTATAGCTGCTTTGCTTTAGCAGAGGTTTCCAGCAGCAGGGCAGAGGTACTGGTACTTTCTAGTGGGTCAGATGACATAAGACTCTCTTCATCTACTGTTTTTCTCCCTCACCATCACTCCAGCCCTTAAAGAAGATGGCCGACAGAATCAGGAAGTATCAGATCCTGAACAACGAGATTTTTGCCATCCTGAACAAGTACATGAAGTCGGTGGAAACAGACAGTTCCACGGTGGAGCACGTGCGCTGCTTCCAGCCCCCAATCCACCAGTCGCTGGCCACCACCTGCTAGTGTGGACACTGACTCCACGTGGGTTGGGAAGGGAGAAGGGACTGAACCCAGACCAGCTGGGAGGGGTAAACTCGACGGCGTGAGACCTGTCAACAAAGTAAGACTGGGTGTGCCTACGACACACGAGGACGCATCTCCCCATCCAGCCCTGTTTGAGTGCATGTTCTTCTGTCCCATCCCTGTGATCGGTTTTACTTGTAGCTTTCAGACTTGGGGGTGGGTGGGGGCGGGCGGGCAAAATGTGCTTTTCTTCCATGAAGTGGTCCAGTTTTCCCCTGTGATTTGTCCAGTTGAACACATCACTCCGAAGCCATATTGCAGCCCCAAACGTGGGGGTCCTGGTGGAAGAGCTCCATGCTTCCGCAGCACCGGGAGCCCACTCCCACCACAGCAGCAGTGGGGCACATCAACACCCCCAATGACATGTGCCACCAGCCATGGAGCAGGAGGGTCTGAAGAAAAGCCCCTGGTTCACTCTTTGGGCCAAAGAAGGGATGAAGACAGGATGTCACCTGTGGCAGCACCCTGAGGACCAAGTGCACAGGAGCCGTGCCGGGCTGGTCTTGGATGGCTGCCTGCCCCAGGCTGGGGCTAGCTTGGTGCTCTCTGACACATCGTTGGCCTTTCTAGCATCTGTTAAAGGGAGCTTCGGCACGTGGGTTTCAGAACAGCAATGATGTAGTCGCCAAATAACTCCTCAGCACTTCAGAGAGCTGGAGAAAGAGAAGATGGCCTGGCTTTTTCCCTGCTATGGGACATCCACTTATTTTAATGCAAAGGGTTTTCCCCCGAAGACACATCTTCCATGGACTAAGATTTCTTGCGGACTACAGAAGAGACTGCATTCATGTGAATGTGCTCTTGAACGTATTAATTTGGGTGGAAATAATCACTGGTCCTGACAGGAGGAAGGTGTAGTTACCTCAAACTTACGTGATCTTTGATCTTCAGCCAAGGATGAGAGCTGGGGCGTGTAATTTGTGTATGTTCTGGGATTTAGACAAATTGTTTTAGACAAATTCCTAGTGGCACAGTGACCAAATATCTTTCTCCAGAGAATGGTGACTATCAGCAGGGCTTAGGAAACTTCCCATCACTCAGAAATGACATGATTGTTTAGAAGAGGTAAAATACAGCATAAACATTTAAAAATACCCAGAGTTTTCCAGGTTTAAAGGCATTCAGAGGGAACACTGGAGTCTGTTTCCTTTTCCTACTCAACTAATCCAAGATCCCTGGATAATGAGAATAAACTCAGTATGAACTTCAAGGATGATTTCATAACTCATGGTTTTCCCTGCTTCCCCTCAGTAGTGTCATTGAAGTGATACAAAAGCTTGTGCTTGAAGTTAAATGACATCGAACCACATGCTCTAAGAGAAAATGATGCTGGCCTCACCACTTGCAATATTTTAATTTCTCAGCTTTAGCCAGGTCACAGCAGATAATTGCTGTTACAGTATACAGACGTGATAATATATATTCCTTTCATGCATTTCATCATGCCTTGTAAACTGCGTGCTATTACAGACCTTAAAAAGGCAGAGCCTGGGCATTTATTCTCTCAGAGGGAACACATAATTAATTAGTAGAAATGTCCCAGCTGGAGTATTTTGTCTTGGGACACAACAGCCAGCAAACTACTATTAGCAAGAGATCTTGCTGTTGGGATGAATTTGTTCTCCCAGACGGTCTCCACCTACTCCCTTGATAATCAATAAATAAATACCCCACACGGTGAAAAGTACTGGACATTTTCACACCTTGAGTTTCCTTTAATCACCAAGACAGATGTTTAAACTGCAGGGAGGAAATTGTGCAGCACAGTAATCTGAAAGTAAAATGAAATCTCAGGAAGTCTGGCTGAAATCTTTGAGTGGCAGGGAAGGACCCAGCCTGGCAAGGCAAGTTGTGTCCTCCATGTCATGAGGAAGAGCAGCAGAAGAGCATCTGGGACTTGATGACACTGCAGGGCTCCTGCTCTCTATTTACTCTTCCACTAAGGATGTCAGTTCTGATTTTCCACTTCTACATTACTGGAGTGAGGGTATCTACAGATATATATTTTTAAAAGGAAGAGGAGGATCAAGCGCTTTATTTTTTGTGGAAAACAAGATACAAGGAAGATAGATCCAACCAAGATAATATTTTTCCTGACCTAAATAGTAAGTGCTTGTTATTTTGGTATGAAAGTGTTGCCGAAAAGGTGGCACAAGTCCCTGTCTGGCTCTCAGAGCCAGCTCTGGGCACGGCACAAATTTAATGTCCTACTGCGTCTGACATGTTATGGGATGTTGGAGTCTTCTCAAAAATGAGCATGAGCAAGAAGTTACTACAAAAGGATGTGCTGTACCACACACCCCAGTCTCAGCTACCTAGACAATAATAGTACATAGTAAGGTGAATTTAAATGCCTGTTTTCATCTGTTTAGGTCTGGAGTCAGTCATGAGATATTTTACCTATACATGAATATCACTTTGCATTCCTTTGCTGTAGTTTTGCCATAGCAATTCTCCAAAACCCTGCAAAACTCAGTTGCGTGTACTTGAAAGAACAGGTAGATGAAATCTATTTGTTGCCCTCATATTTTCTGGCAAAAACATAAAATCCCTTCAGATTCAGAGGGTTTAAATGTTTTGAGCGAAACGTCCAAAGTGCATGAACAAAACGTAAAGTGTTTTTGACTGTAGAGTGTGTGCAGATGTTTTGCCTTGTTGCTCAAGTAGTACGAGATATCAGCTAGGAACAATCTTATGGTCTTCATTTCTGAGATTTGATGTTGTTGTCCTTTTATTATCTAAAGGATGCAAATAGTCTTTAGCTTCAGTTCTCTAACCCTCCTTGAGTGTGTATGAGAAAGAGGTCCAGGCTTAGCTCTTTAAAGAACTCCATGAAAATGGAATTTTTTTTCTTCCTATCCTTTTTTTTAATGTCATAATTGTTAATGGAATAGGGAGCAAAATTGTAACAGTAGGGCTAAGTAGTAACAAATTGCCATGGGGTCAGGCATATTCCCCACACTTGCAGACTTCCTGCCAAGTTTGAGTGTCTTCCTTGCAGATACGCTCTAGTCCTATGGGTTTCAGCCTTTTACAATCTGCAGACCCCTAATCTTTTTTCCTAGGGAAATGTGGACCCCTGTCTGGATACTTTAAGTCCACTGACCATGGGCTTGCTTTTTTACCTACATTTTCCTGCTTACTCTGAAGTAGTCTGCAAGCTCCCCAGGATTTACCAGCTACCACTTGGAACGTCTACTTCAAAGATAAGTTGTTGGCTCGATACAGGAATTACAGGGGGGAGAAAGGATGGCCTGTGTCATGAATGAAGTCAGACTAGGTTATTTTAATGTTCCCTCTGGCTTTGACATTATAAAATGTGACTATTGGCAGTGTACATGCCTTTCCTGGATGATGCTACACTTGACTTTCAGTGATACAATAGAAGGGGGAAGCGAAATAGTTCAAGCTCAGCACTTCGATGGTTTTCCTTTTAAACTCTGACAGCACTTATTAGCATTGAACAACATGTAAGTCCTTCTTCTCCTGCATTACTCCAGTCCAGTAGGTTCATGTGTGTTTGAGAACAAAAGAAAAAAGAATTGAAAGTGTAAAAAACCAAGAAAATATTCTCCAAAACTCTTGTCAAATGTACCATATTTGTATGAAAAGCTGCTTGAGTTATTTTGTACAATTAAGTTTATTTATGGTGAGGTATATTTACGCTCGTGTCTGATACAGTGTTAAATTTTGATCCATATTTGCTATGCAGCTGAAGATGATATTTTGGTTTTGTATTATTATTTTTTGCTGTTGTTCTAAAATTCAGCTAACAGAAGCTTCCATCTCCATTAGAAGTGCTTCTGCAAGAGTACACTATCTGGTACATGGTGATATGTCCCGTAACACGGCAACCAACAGTGTGTACAACAAATGTGGGATGACTTTTGTGATGAAGAGAAATAAAAATTGGGCTCATTTATGAAATGAGCAGACTTTACCATGTGGTGTCATCATCACTGTGATAACTATTATTTGGGGAGAGCCTCCAATTGCACCTGGCACAAAGAAAAAGCTAAGAGGAATAATGGCAGCATTTTGTTGCTAAAAGCATCGAGCTTTTGTCAAAACCAAAGAAAAAAGATGAAGCTTTGTGGCCAACACCAAAACAAATTTTCCTATCAGAAAGGCAATGATTTTTGAGAAAAACATCCTTCCACAACAAATTTTCATTTGAAAACTCAGTTTAGTATAAGAGGGCTGGGGGAGGGAAAAATATAATATTATTATTAATAGAATTTGACAGGCCCTAGTCAAAGCAAAGCTAAACTGAGGAACTAATTTCCTCTCATTACCACAGCCTTGTCAACTCAACAGGGACCTTTTTATTCCAGGAGACTCTCCTTGTTATTTTTTTTCCAAATTTCCAGTTGAAATAATTTTTAGGTTTGTGTTAAAAGCATCCCGGGAGCAGCCGTGGTTGTTGACTGCAGCAAGAGCAGTGGGAACTGCAGGGAAAAGACCTGGGAGCTGAGGAATTAGGATGAAACAACTGACACGGATCTATGGGAGTGGGAGCACCTATGCTGCATCAGCTCTAGAAAAGGTACTCTAACTGATGTTCCCTTTCATAGCTTCTTCCCAAGGTTTCCTCATGGGAACAGCTTCCTAGCTTAAGAGGAATAAAAATGCAGTGATTCTTCACATAGAATTGGAAATGAACTTTACACCATGACCAGGCAGCTCTGTTGATCTTTCTGATATGATTTAAGTCACGGGACACACGATGTGCCTGCAGCTCTCTGTGTAACGTACTGCTGTGCGGGACTCTTTGCACGATGGTTGAAAGTTGCCCAATGTTTACTGATTTCAACACGGTTCTGCACTGGGGAATAGCAGAGAGGAGAGCAGGGCTTTCTTCCTGACTCAGCCACTAAGACAAGGCAGGTTGTTTGGTTTTCATCCTTTCCTCCATCAAGACTTCTTTGTTGTTGTTTTGT